TAGGTAGCAAGGCCACCTAGATATTCTTTGAAACAAAATTCGTTGACACCAAATGGATCTTTAATGAAGCTTCTCGATTGTGAGTAGTCATCAGAATGCAAATCAATTTCCGGTCACCAACAACGAATCAAAGTCCGCTAACCAAAATTAATATTTGAAGGCCATCGATGGAGCCATTGTACCCCACAGACGGAAGTTTAATCTACCGAAAGTGCTTTTGAAGATAACTTAAACGGGTGTTTTTGCAACCTCGCCTACACTGCACTGTCATTAAGCACTACAAAATTACTGAATAGTCGAGACGTCACCGACATTACGCACATGGTGTCAACCAATCATAATGAAGAACTGCTTTTTTGTGTGAATCGATGGCAGCCGTGAGCCTGAACCGAAAAATGTGGTTTATCTAGAACCTGCCAAACAAACAAATGCCACATAACTTGTTGAAATTTACTGCGACATCTAGATCTTAGACTTGTCTATTAATTAGCATGTCATTAAAGTCTTTAAAACGACAGGAGTGTGAAGAAATAAGCGAGTCAGACAGGCTCATCTTCACCGCCCAGTTACCACGGCGAACGTTGATCAGTTTGACCAATCAAACACATGCCGTGGCGTCAAGACCTACTAGTCAGCAGGTTATTCAATTAAGCGTTCATTTTGTCGGAAATCCACTCGGATTTAACCTACATGTGAAGTCCCCACGAGGAACCCCACAAAGTCACTGTAAGATGTCATTCCGAAATCACTGTGCCTTGTATAATAGACCAAACCTTGGAATGGACCTAACGCTTCCATTGCTACAAGTAAAGGTAACATTAGTATCAATAGGGAAGCGAAAATCCTGATCTATCCAAGGCGGCTGCCGTGTTCAGTAGTTTGTCAATCTTTCAAGGCGATTACTTTGTACTGGGATCGAAAGAGTCTGTGGCGAACAGCAAGCGACCACATTTAGCAATCGTGAGCGAACACAATTCAATCGATTTTCGTGAATTCACTTTACGTAGCTGCGTGCGTTCAGAGATCGATTTTTAGCGAAGCTACATAAGCGCACTCGTTATCCTATACAAAAACACACCGCTGCTGCATCAATAAATAAGTTGAGCTAGGCGCCACCTGCATTTCTCCTCTTCCTTCGGTCGAACCGTGTCAACGCAGATTGTCGGCCCAGGTGTGGTTCTCCAAAACCGCACCGTGGCCCGCTACAATTCATCGTCACCAAATTTCATCCAACCATGTCTGGGTCACCTGGTACACTACCTAAATCTTGTCTCTAATCGATTCTCTGGAGGAGATTTACGTTTTCGTGATAGTCGTTTCAATGCAGCAATTTTTACTACATAATCTGCCTCACCAGCCGCAGTGTTTCTTTGCACTTCTCCCGCACACCTGCAAAGAGCTCCTCAAGCACATGTCGACAAGGGTTCCACTCTAATTTGATTTGTCTAAGTACTCTTCTCATTGACACATCCGCTTCGCCACGTGCCTGTCGATTGCAGTAAAGCCAACGAAACGCATCTTCACACCCTGCTTTTGATGATTGGTTGCTTTGGCAGAGTGTGAGTCTTCTGCTGTCGAAGTGTGTGCCACCGGTTTCTGTGCTGCATGTCTTCCGCCATTTGGCGGTGCTGAAGCACTTCCTTGTTTGTGAAATTCTCCCCGTCCGTCTTGACTATGATGCCCTTAGATTGACCCGTGGTGGCGACGCAAGCAGCCTCTTCCAGAATAAGTCTTCTTCAATGCATGCAAGTCACCAGCAGCAAGGAGGTTATCTATTTCTATGTATCCGCGTTCCTCCAAACTCAGTTACTCTTTCTCAATCACCACACAGCCAGGGCATCGTCCATCACCGATCATCCTGGGTGCTTTTTCTTTAGTTTTTCCTGGAAGCGTTGGGAAATGCAAGTGTCAATGTCACCGCTACCAAGACGCTGGTCACCCAGCAAACGAACCACCCCATATTTTTTTGTTCTTTACGCACAGAATGGACACGTCAAAGGTGCCTCCACCAAAGTCGAAGACAAGCACAAGACGATCTTCTGTTATTCAATCCAATTTACAAAGCCGGAATGTGAGGGTTACTTTCAGAAAAATCAAAAATCACACTCAGAGGCCAGGCTTTAATATCATCGACTGCCGTCCTGTGAAAAGCTTCATTTAAAAATTGTTTTTTTAGGGTTGCACCCTGCTTGATTTGTCGCAGCATCTCCAACTAATCTCTTCGTGTCTGTAACCACCACCTCATTGGCTATCATAATTGGCTGTCCACGTTTAAGAAAAGTGATACCTGAGTCCGTGGTACCCAAATCGATGCCGAGGGCAATATCGCGAGTGTCCACAATGCTGCAATGGTACTTTGACACCATGGACTTGACCTTCACTGTGGTTCAGTAGAACCAATAGTAAATATTCAAGATTTTCAGTAGACTTTGATAACACTTTTATCTAAAACGTTAAACACCTCCCTCTATGGATTGAGGACAATTAAATATGACGCACCAGCAATCCCTTCCCCTCACAAGTTTTGTAAGTTTAAAAATAGAACTCGAGAGTGTCAGCTTTCATATCTAAATGCACGCTCTTATGATCCCGTCTCTTTTGAAACTAATTTATGTGACCCTAAATAAATTCAAAAAGTGCAAATTGTATGTGTTCGGCTTTTGCTTTTAATCCTCATTTTCTGACATGAATGTGAGCTTAATCGGCGAGGCGTCATGCAGTCTTTAAAAACAAACGGATAAAGACTCAGATAACATGTGTTTCCTTGCAAATACGGCTGTTAATTATTACGCAAACGTTCCTTAAGCTTGATTCGTGGCTTCCATTTGTAATGACTACCTACTAATTGGAGGTGGGGATGAGTCATTGAAATCAATAATTCTGTGTGGAAGCTTTACACACACGACCGCTGACAGTCCACTACTAATCTGTTTACCGAAAACAGCATTTAATACGTCTTTGGGGATTAACAAAACCACTTGTACATAAAAAACCTTTCTCAGCGACTTAGTTTATCGACATGGTACCAGCAGGCACAACCGGGAAGGGTCTAAGTTTGTGGTAAACTGTCATGGCAAATGTGACCTTCGTTTGGGAAGTGGAAATTATCTTAAACCTGGCACAAAAGAACTAACATAACAAGGCAGAACACTCTTAACAGATGTGTGGTCGACAAAACGATTTGATTTTCCGCCAAAATATCAATAAATTTCCAGGCACCAAAAATCTCGTTCTCAGGCATGACAGACAGAACTTTAATCCAATGAAAATGCTTTTGAAAAATAACTAAAACGTGTGTTTTTGCGACATTTCCTACACTACATTGTTATCAAGCACTGCAAAATTACTGGATAGTCGAGAAGTCACCGACATTACGCACATGGTGTCAACCAATCAAAAAGATGAACTGTTTTTTTGTGTGTGTCGATGGCAGCCGTGAACCTGAACCGGTAGATGTGGTTTTTCTAAAACCTGACAAGCAAACAAATGACGACTTCCACTTATTTTGATAGTCTTGTCGTGGGTAAATCCTTTACAAGCATTTACCGCATTTCGCGTGTAACCCCAAGTGGAATTCGTGCAAAAGATGGAGGAATTTGTGTGTTGAACCGAATGAAGCCATACACAGCTATTTGCGTGAAATTTATGTGATCACAAGAAATCCAGACGGCCACATTTAGTATTTCTACACCTTGAAAACCAATCTGACTCGTCTACTGTTTTAAACGAGCTAGTACATCAAACCAAATCTGACTTCCATGCGCTATCAAACGCCGGGTAACCGCTTCGCCTTATCAGCAGCACGATAACTCATTCTATGTACGAGTGAGGTTTTTTTGCGTAGTTAGGACAAATTGATTTTTTAAAGGACACGCCATCTTTTTAGGCTGACCAGACGGCTAGTTTATTTCGTGGTTTTTTGAAAAATACCGTCACGCAGTAAACACGCAGCTGTGTGGGGCAGTGGACTGCCCACATTTTTAAACCAAGTTACTTGGATCGGTCTTTGAGGTGGCACAAAGGCCATTTAATGATGTTCTAGGAGTGCTGCTCGAAAGTATCCAACTTCAAATCAAGCCATTATTTCCAAACACCTGAGTTAAGCTTATTTTGTGTTGTTTTCTTTTTAACCGGGTGGCACGACAACTAATGCAACTAGAAATTTACAAATACGCCTCTTGCTGTGAAAAGCTTTAAAAAAGATAATTATTACACTGCCGCATTGGTGAGTTTTCGGTAAAGCAAGAGCGCATGACTAGCCTCGACACAAATTCCTCCACGAAATTCACGAACGGTTGTAGGATCTAGACAATTTGGTTTGATTGAACTGCCTCATCCTACTCTTGTGGATCGTGTTTTTATTCATGTTCTCACTTCTGCTGTCGCAAATAGGTGCCTTTATACTACTAAGTCGTAATCAGTAGTATTGAGACCATCAGTAAGTTGGATGGAGCCGTATAAACACGCATTGCTTGATGTCGACAAATTGTTTCATCGGAAGGAACAAAACAGTGCTATTCAAACCATGCTTTCCGCTGATTATGGTTGCCATTTCGAATGTGGTGATACTAAATATTATCGTTTAGCTTTTTCTAACTCGAATGGCCTGTTAATTAGCTGCTGACTTAAACATTGTACGAATTGAGATGAATAACCCATACTCGTTGGATGAAAGGACATATTAGGCTTTATCAATTCGCCAATATCCGCATTACGATGCAAGTGTAGGCCAATAAAGTCTATGCAACCGAACATAATAATTCTGGATTTATCAAATTCGCGTTGACAAGGAATAATTTCCCCACTTTGTAAAGCCATACACTTCGTGTTATCCTCGTGGCTACAAAGCGCATGGCTCAGAATGGTGCTCGCATTTGATTGGTTAAGCTGCGTTTCCCCAATCAGCTGCGACCTATGAGCATAGCCCTGCTCTGTCACATTTCCTGTGGGAAGGAATTTCCAAAAATTTAATCTCCTATACACTGACCACCGGAACTGAGATGCTCTGCTTGGGCGTGAATGTCTCTCCCCTCTTCTTCGTCCACGTTTTATCAGTTTTCGTCGCGTTAAGCAAGGCCTCATCAAAATTTAATGCCGGTATTATAAATTTCGTTATTTCGGAGAGCGCGGCCGTTGGGGATGTTGTGGGAACTTTGGACGGTTTTAATTTCTCCGGTTCTTCTAAGGCGTATGAAGACATGACGTGGTTCAGGCTGCAGGATACAACCTACTTCGCGCTGAAGGGACCCAATCAGAAAACGGTTGTGGTAAATCGGCTGCTCGACCGTGACAATGACAGAAAACTCTGTAGAGAGTCCAGCTGGCCTGAAACGTGTGCGTGGTCGGGCGTTCTTTTTGCACTTGACGGCGTTGTGCTCAGCCTGCGTATAACTGTCCTTGACATCAACGATAATATTCCTCGGTGGCCAGATTCTGCGCTGAGCAAGCCGCGGAATTCGCATGACAAGGAGCCAGCGATTGAGTTATTCGTAGCCGAAAACACACCAATTGGCGGTGTATTTGATTTGCCGCTCGCGGAAGATCGCGACTACGGGAAAAACGGCATTGTTAATTACGAGATTGTTAAACCAGATAAAAACGGCTTTTTCTCTCTTGACTGTTCCACCGGTCCTAATGGTGTGATTCCGCGTCTACGAGTTCTGGCCAACTTGGACAGAGAAGAAATGGAAGAACATGAGCTGCAGATAGCCGCCGTTGATGGAGGTGGTCAGCGCTTTGTGGTAAGACTTCGAGTCTACCTTGTCGATGAGAATGACAACCCACCGGTGTTCAAGCACCTGAAGAATCTGTCACCGGAGGAGGCCCAACGAGCACGTTTCGTTATTGAAATAGACGAGTCGACACCCGTGGGTACAGCGCTTCCTCTTCACCCAACGGCGACGGATGCTGATTCGGGAGAGTTCGGCCGTGTCCGCTACCGTTTCTCCTTTGCCACCCCTGTGATTGTTAAACGCGACTTCTCTATCGATCCTGATACAGGCCAAATTTTTGTCAAAAACACTTTAGACTGTGATGCTGGCGGCGTCTCGGAGTACGTATTTTCCGTACTCGCAGAAGACAGCGCTCCACAGCCACTAACAGCCCTAGCAATGGTTGTAATTATCCTCCACGACACCAACGATAATGCTCCTAGCATTAGTCTCACCCCCACGGCCCCAAAGATCGATAACTCATATGGAACTACGTTTTATCCCACATTTGAGGACGTGAGGGATACCTTTTCGCTGATTGAGGAGATGCCATCGGGTCAGCTGGTGGCAACCGTCGCAGTGAACGATCCAGACTCCGACGCTGACGGCGAATTTGAGTGTGAGTTAAGCGGGACGCGAGACTTCAGTCTGCACGTCTTGCCGTGGCTTGGAGCTACTAAAGTCTACCAGCTGGTGTCTGCTCGCAGATTCGACCGGGAGGCCGAAGCCATGATCTCGGTGACTCTGAAATGCGTTGACAGAGGGAATCCACCGCAGGCTTCCAGCAGAATAATTCCAATCACGCTCGTCGACGTAAACGACAACCGGCCCTATTTTCAGCAACCGCTGTATCAATTTGCGGTAAGTCAGCAACTTCCCCTAGTCGATCAATGTAGCAATTAACAACACATCTTAATTACACTTTTTTTATTTATGGAAATCCGCAAAAGTCTCAGTTTGTGTCACATTAAGCATGTAAATACAAGGAAATTTCGAGTAAAGTTACACGGTATAAATTTAAATGAACTTAGATAGTTCAAGGTAAATAAACTGACAGGTTGTTTGTTTAAACGCATTGCTGCAAGATGTTAATTGGCTACTGTCTTGTCAGCATCAATGGATAATTGAATCGATTTAACTCTGCTGCAGTTACTGTGTCGTATAATCTTGCCTCTAGAATTAATACGGTCTCTATATTAGTCTTAACATTTGTTCTCGCTTGCCTAACAAACAAACTATTGCACTATATTTCTGCAGAGCCGAACAGAGCTTTTTTTTGTTTGGCGCATTGCTTGCAACGAAAATAGTACTTTTCTGCGTGGACAATTCATAGGTCAACGGAACCAATCTGGATACGAAAATTTTAAATTTGTATCCGCTTCTGGTAACTCGGGCAATTATTTTTGGTTTGAGGCCACGTTTCTGCATTAATTGGAAACACAGAATTGTCCATAATATGTAAAAAGAATCAACGTTTTGACAGGTTTAAGGGTTGGAATTTGATTATTTAAACTGCTTTGTTGATTTAATGACTCAGACGCCATAAACTGGCATTTTTGCGGAAGTGCTTTTTCATGATGCACTTTAATTGAAATTCATCAGTTCTCTGAGGGTTTCAATTGTGTTTTTCAAAATGTTTGTTTAAATGCACTCTAAGTTTCGAATATTGTTTACCTGATATTTAAATCGATTTTTGGTGATTGGTTGCAAATATGTCTTAACGAGGAAGGGATCTCTATAACCCCTATTATACCTCTGCACTAAACATTTTACCACAAGTAGTTTGCTTAATTCCTGCATTCCCAAATTCGTGGTG